CTGGGGTCACAGGGGTGTGGCGCCTTCCTCTCCAGCGCCGCTTCCTGGCCACCCGGCTGCAAGTAGCTTTCTTCTTCCCCCTAGGTCCTTACTGCCTTGGAGCCAGCCAACTACGGGCTGAGTCTTCTAAAAACCATGCGCCCAAGTAACCCTCTGCTCCTTTTAGTTGTGGGTTTGGGGAATTTCGTTCCAGTGACGAGACTGACTTAGTGACTTACTCAGGGACACTGGCATCGTTTCACATCAGGCGGTCTGATGATATAAGATAGCATTTCAGTGTCAAATTTTTAAAAAGATTGTTGGGCATGATGGCATACGCCTGTAATCCCAGCACTCTGGGAGGCTGGGTCACTCAGTGACTTAGCAAGACCCTGTCTCAAATTTTTAAATAAATAAATAAAAAGGGGCTGGGAATGTAGCTCAGTGGGAAGACCCTGGGTTCACTCCTCAGTAGTGAGAAAGAAAAAAGAAAACTTTAACTTCTTGGTTAACAGCTGTTCACTGAATGTGAAAATATCCTCAGAAAATGAAGAATCAAAGAAGACATTTTTCTGACAAGCTAGAGAAAGCATTAACCAGATCCCGTGTTGCAAAATGCCATTTGCATCAACTCTAAGAAGAGTAAAAACAGAGCCCCTTGGACTGAGTCCTGCGAAGAGCCAGGTGCCCAACAGCAACCGTAAGGAAGTCATTTCATTACATCGTTGATGCGTGTGACAGGTGACAAGCCCAAGACCTGGGAGGGCCCTGTGGAGACACCCCAAATCCTGTTGATGAAATAGAGGGGAGCAGCTCCTATGACGACCTTCAACTGCCCGACTGTGTCTTCTCACAAACATTCAGGGAAGAGAAAGAGGCAGCAACAGAGACCACAGGAAACAAAGCCCACTGCCAGGGGGGCCTTCAACACAGGGGAGGACTGTGCCACCCAGGAGGTGTTTGGGAGCCATTGAGGGTTCTAGAAGTGGGAGGGAGGTCGGGGGTATGTGTCTTAGTTGCGTTTCTTTCCTTGCTGAGACAAAATGCCTGATGCTCAAAGTTAAAGGGGGAAAAGTTTACTTAGCTCACACCTTATAGAGGTTTCAGTCCATCATTGGCTGGCTCCAAGGCAGGGTGGCATGGCAGACAGACTTCCAGAGAAGAAACAGCTCATGCACACAGACAGTAACAAAACCAACAAGGGAGCATGGCACCCTGACTCAATTCCAGTAAAAGCCGCACCTATGACTGCATGAGGCTTTGGGGGGACGTCAAGGCACAAGCCATAACAGGAGGGGACTAGTAAACAACCCCCGTGATACCTAAGATCTCTAGGTAAACGGTCTATCCTGGGAGTGGTGGTGTGGGAATGAGGCTGGGAGAAACAGGGACGTTGTGGAAATTAGCACAATTACAGCAGTTCCCAGAGTCTGCGGACAGGCGCTCAGCCCACAGGGGTGAGCCAGCAATGTACACAGGGGTGGGAGGAGTCTTTGGGGCGGCAGAGCTGGGCAGTGTGTTAGTAGGAAAGGCCCGGGAGCTGCCTGGGCCATCTGGAGAGACTGGTTTCCTTATGGTACTGTCCTTCACATGCAGTACTCTAGAGACTGGGCGAGGCCGTTGCTTTTGTTTGTTTGGTGCTGGGGATGGAACCCAGGGCCTGGAGTGGGCTAGGCCAGTACTGTGTCACCAAGCTACATTCTCTTGATGTTTTAAACACTGCAACTGTAAATACACAAACGTGTCTTAGTTTAACCACAGGAGATTGTGCTTTGATAGGTCATAAAGCAGTCATAGATCTGCAGCTTCCTGTGGTTCCATCTAATAGATGGTACGATCCCATTCTTGTTTTTGGAAAAAAATAAAGAGCGCATGTTCGAGTACACAACGATAAGGAGAAAGCTGGAGCGGGGACAGGATGGGGAGGTAATGCTGCCGTCTCCTCAGCTGTATGCTTCTGTATGGATGAAAGACAGGAAGGAAGGAGCCCACAGGCCTGGGAAGATGCACTCTCGGCCGGTACCTTCCCAGGTGGGACCAGAACCCCTGGTCTCAAGGCTCCAAGAGCTTCCTTCTGGCTGCACTACTGCAGTACCCCGTGTGTGCTTGTTCTTGTCTGCTCCTCTTCCCTCAAGTGCAGCCCCAACCCAAACAACCCTTAGCTCCACGTCACAGCTTTGTCTTCATGAACCCTTCTCCAATCCAAACCCTGTGGGAAGAACGGGAACCAGGACAGGAAAACATATATATATTTTAATACGCAAATGCTTCAGATGGATTAAGCATTTGGTTTTACTTGGATTATTATTTTTTTCCATGAATCTAAGCCATTTTGCATTTTGGAACCCTTCTGCAAACAGAGCAGTTTGTCTTTGTGTTTGCTCATTTAAAAACAAATATTTGCCTGCCAAGCAAATACTGTCTCTTAGGATGTGCTATTAATAGGATAATTAGGCAGCCGGTAATGAAAAGGATTGCTGGTAATTATGGCAAGATTTGTTTTGGCATTTGAAGGCAGCGATGGAGGCTGGAGTGCTAAAATCTACCTTAGAGTTAATTAGTACAATTAGAACACACCTGAAAAAATAGTCCAGCTAAATAACACTTCGCTTTACTTTTAAAGTGACAGTACCCATCCCTTGCCAAGCTGCGTGGGCAGTCGCAGCCCTGGTGTTTCCAGCACGACAGAGGGTCAGGGATGAGAAGGAGAAGTTGAACTTGAACTGGTTTCCAGAGCTCGCACTTGCTGTGAGCCTAGTTCCCCTTTCCTTTCAATGTCACTGGTACCCATCCCACTTCTGTCTGTGAGCAGTTTCTCATGAAAGCCTCAGAAACTCTTGCGCTAGAAAAGCAAAACTTAGTACATTTTTCAGAAAAGGAAATGGAAGGCCAGAGATGCCCAGGGGTTGCCCAAGGTCAGAGATGAAGGTAGAGGTCGTGGATGGGGTCAGAGGTAACAGTCTATGCCTAAGATAAGTTAAAGAATGATTCGGAGAGGGGATCTTCGCGTCTGTCCTAAAAGCTGAGCTTGGGAGCTCTACCTGAAGCAGGTCCTCAGGTTGCTGAACCTGTGACCCTGGTCACCCTCACTGCTAAAGAATCTGAGATATCTAAAAATCACCCAGCTTAGAAGACTCTCAAATTTGTCCTCCCTTTTTGCTGTTGGCTGCCTCCCTTCTGGGGTGCATTCCTAGTGAGGTGTCTGCACTGGGCAGGTGGGTGGGCGTATGCTGTGCTGGTGTGGGTGGACCTGAATGTCTGTTTCACTCAGGGTAAGTGTGTCTGCAGGAGCGGGCAGCGGGGAGGTGTGGGTTTGTGAGCACGGGACCTGAGTAGGCACATACTTGTGTGTGCACGCGTGCGTGTGCACACACACACACACAGAAGAGCAGTAAGAAAAAAAGCAGGCAGGAAACTTACAGTCCATTTAAAGAAAGCTTCGTGATTGGAGGCAACCAGAGGGTTATTCTGGCCCTTTAAGGTCTGAGCATCCTCGTCCAAATATTGGGAATAAAACTGGTACCACCTCGTGGATTGGCCATTACAAATCTATAGTGAGACCATGAGACAAAGTTCTCAACACAACTGGCCCATCAGTTACTAATTAAAGTGTTATTGCCATTGCCATTGATGTCACTGTAAAATGCGCTTTCTCACCGGCCCTTTGTACCCCCAGCTAAACACTGCAGTCCCCTGCAGGCCGACCTTGGGCTGGTCTGGTGGGGCTCTGGGAAAGCAGGGCAGGAGACCCCATGAGACCAACCCCTTCCTGGCTTTGTCAACCTGGATTTGTTCTCTACAAAAGGCACATTAAGCCACAGAATCCTGCCAGAAAAGAAAAATACAGTCTCAGCCCTGAGATTGTGGGCCACCTCCTGCACTGTAATCCCTAGAATATTCACCCTCAGCTGCAAAAAGAAAAATAACAGCTAATGATTCACCAGCCCCATGCTCCCCACTTTCAAACACAGCGTCTGGTCCTCATAGCCACCTCACTGGCAGGTCTCTTTACCTTCCTGGAAATGAGGAAATTGGGATACAGAGAGGCTAGATTTAAAGCTAACCCACTGGCTCCCAACCCATTGACCATGGTCCAACATTTCTTACTGAGAGCTTGGGTCCATGGGATCTTGACAGGCACATTTCCAGGGACTCTCGGAACTCCCATCACCTCCCATGGCAAATGGGTGTTAAAAATCACAGGGACAGAACCTGTATTTTGTAAACTGAACTCAAACAAGAAAACCTCTCACATAAAACCTGAAATCTATGTCCCTTGCAGTAGCTGGATTTGCACTGATTAATTAGAAAATTGCATTTATATAACCCTTTAATCTGCATTTATGTGTTGCTAAGGGTGCGGTGAGCTGGGCAGGGAATTACATCCAGATTAGCCTTGATCTGTAAGCAGCCTGGATTGGCGTTTCTTTCTGTGCTGAAAGGAGAAACTCGAAAGGATTTGGGGCATGGATCCCAGTGAGGACTATTTCCCTCTCTCCGGCCTTGGACCCAAGCCGTCTGGGGCCTTCAAGGGCTTCCCAGGAAGCTTCACACGCCTGCCTTGGTCAAACAAGGACTGAGATTACCCAGAGAGCTAATTTCCGGCCGAGTGTGGCCCCTGGTTTCCTAGACAAAATTGGTCTTATTCTTCTCAACATGTGTTCAGCAAGATTAAAGATCCATCCACTGCACAGCTTAATGTAAGCTGCACTGGAAGTGACTCATGTTGTCCCCAGAGCAGGGGCAGCAGAGTGGGAGAGAGCAGGGCCTGAAATCCTGTTTATTGAATCAGAAAAAAGCCCTTAATGGATAAAGCATTTTGAAGTAGGGATCTTAATGCTTTGTGATATTTCAGGGGAAGTTATTTGATCACACGCACAAAAATCATTGTAAAGTAGTTCCATTGCTCTTGTCATTAATTTTCTCCCTCTCTCTCTCTCTCTCTCTCTCTGTCTGTCTGTCTGTCTCTCTCTCTCTCTCTCTCTCCCTTTCCCCCACCTCTCTCTCTGTCTCTTTCTCAGCTGGATCAACAGCTGGGCCTAGGTGAGGACAGTGGTGGCTGAGACAGCCAGTCCCATTCTTCACCAAGCAGGACGCTCTGGGGACATGTGGATGTGGTACTCAAGAACAGTTCTAGGCCCAGGCTGCCAGAGTAGGTGGGGGCAGGTTGGGTTCCGAGGTGCCACGGGGAAGAAGAAACAATGTGGCTGGAGGTTGAGTGAGGGACAAGGAACCTCCTCTTATTCCCTCTGGTGTCAAGAATTTCAATTTTTAGTCTAGCCAGAAATTGCCGACTTTGGCCAATCCATTACCCTACCTGGGCCCTTCCTTCGTCCTTTATAATCAATGCAGTTGACTAAAAGCCTGATGAGGCTGATTCAGGCGCTAATGTTCTGCATTCACAAGCATCTCCATGGATATCACAGCCAATCAGTGCAGCATTTCCCAATGCCCTGATACTCTGCAGGGGCGGTAGAGCATTGTGGTTTAACACTGTGGAGTCTGCTGTCAGCCGGCTGGCAGAAATCCATCCTGGCTCCATCATTCACGAGCCCTGCAGCCTTGGATGCGCTCCCTAACCTTTCTTCACCTTGTTTTCCTCCTCTGCAACCTCACGGTGACCACAACAGCACCCGCATCATGGGGTTTACGTGAGAATGAGATGAGTAAAGACGTGCAAAGCGGCAAGCACAGTGCCTGGGCCGGGCAGGTGCTCAACAGTGGTGGCTGCTGTGATCATCAGCCTCCAGGCTGCGGATCCCAGCACCTCCCACCAGGTGCGAATCGCTTGGGTCTGCAGGTTCTGGCACATTCAGCACCTGGCACGTTCTGCTCCTGGGGCCCAGGTGGGGCCTCACAAGACAGCTGTTGAACAGACGTTCCTTGCAGACAGTGGGCCATGAGCAGTGCCCTGGTTTCTACCTTGAGGTCTTCCTCCCCGCCCTTCCAGCCCGATCCTCAGGAAAGATAGAAACCAGAGGTGCTCCCCCATGTCCACCGTTCCCAATCAACTGAGACTCACACTCTCCTTCCTTGAGTATTGTGCCAAGCAGGTGCATGTGTGCTGCTTTCTAAGGGGCTCCATGTCCTTCCAAACTGCAAACCACCCTGGGCCCTCATGAAGGCGGAGAGATCTTCTTGGGCAGGGGTGAGCAGGCTGGTGCTGCCACACCAACTCCCAGAAGCACGGGTGGTGTATGGATTCTCCGCTTCACCTGACTCACCAGCTGGCCCTCCTCGTCCACATCTATGGAATCACGGTGCTAAGTCACTTGCGCATAGTGTGGTGTTCAGCGGGACACCGGTACTGTAAATGCTGTTGGGGTGGGGAGAGGAGCAGGATAAAAAAAAAAAATCTTTGAGAAACATAGTTGCTATGTCTCCTTGCTGATGAGCAAGCTCATCCTTGTATTACAGGCCCTGAGAGGTCCTGCAGCTTTGAAGCAAAATTGCTCAAGAGTTCCACCAACCAACAGAGCCCATCCACTGGCTTCCTATGGAGTTGGATGGCAGCCCCCTATCCTTCCTAATTCCAACAGACTGCTTCTTCCCAGGAAAAGGCCAATAGATAATCCAGACTCAGCCATCCGAAGAAGTGACTCAGTGTCCTCATTTCTTGATCTGAGGGAGAAAGAAGAGAAGAGGAAACCGGAAACATGTGCCTGGCCTTGCACGGTCAGAGAATGAACCCACAGTCCCTGGCCCTGGGCAGCTGGGACAGAAGAGTCGGGGGGGGGTTCCAAGGAAGATTCAGGAAGCTTCGTGTGCACTGCTGGCCATAAATAAACAAGCCAGAGCCAGCCTGCAAAGCAGGGCGTATTGTGTCATGTGAAGAGGCTGCCAGACATCTGGATGTCTCTGCTACCCCCATCCCTCCTGTTGCCATAAATTTAAGTTAATCCTATGGGGCCCAGAATCATAAGAATAATCTTCACATCTGTGTGGGCTTTTCAGCCTTTGAAAGCTCATTCATGGAATTATCTCATTAGTTCCACTCAGTGCCTGTGGGAGGGACTCAGGGATGATCATCACCACTTGGCAGATAAGATGCTGAGACCCAGGGAAGGAAAGTGACTTTCTCAAGGTCACACAGCAAGGCAGCAGCAAATTGCAGTAGTGATACAGGTCTTCTGATGCCCAGCCCAAGACATCCCATGAGGACAGGACTGTCTTACAAAAGATGCTCTGAGATTCAGACATCTCCCCCTTGCCATGGTCCCCAACCAACCTGGCCCAGAAAAGTCCTGAGTCTACCCCACTGCCACTGTGTGGAGATGGAAAGTAGGCAGAGGCTTGAGGGACAACTGTGGGCTGCACAGGCAGCTGCTCAGGTTCAGATCGCAGCTCTAGCTTCCAACTCATCAGACTCCAGACACGTGACCCAGCCTTCTGCACAGGGCCCTCACCCTTGACCCTACAGAGAGTATCACTTGCATTATCTACTCATCACTCCTTCTCATAATGACTCCGTGTCCTTGGGGAACTGCTCCTCCCCCAACTCCTGCCATGTGACTGTGTGTGAAGCTTCCCACCACCACAGCCGCAGAGGTGGGGACCCAAGACAGGTCTGGAGCCCTTTCCTTTCTGGGGGTAAAGATGAGAAGATGTGATTTTAGCTTTGTAAAGAAAGGTGGCTGAGAGACGGGGAGACAGTCCTGGAGGTGCCAGAAGCTCCAGACACACTCAGCCCCACGAAGGCTTCCCTTCCCCTGGGTCATCCCAGGAGCTTACAAATGCCCTGGAGGCCCCTTGATCCATCCCCTACCACCCAGGCCTCCTGAATGTTTAGGAGATGAGAATTGTCACCCCTGGTGCTTACCTGGAGGACCCCACCACCCCAAATGCCAGGAAAATGGGCAGTGCTGCAGCGAGACAGCCAGACAAACATGCAACCAACAGAGACCTACGTCTCCTGGGCTTTCACCAACTCCCACACGTTCAGAGCTCAGAGAAGGTGAAAGTCCGTAGTCCAACCTCTCATCTGAACACTGGGGTGAAAGAGTCTCCTTTCTGTACTTGAATGGCAAATGCTAAGGGCACTTGTCTACTTAGGAACAGTCCCAGGAAGCAGAGGCCCAGTGGCCCAGACTCCTGGATCTTTGGGATGCCTGCTCCTACCCTGACTCTCGCACTTCAGGAATGAGAGGGGGAAGACAATGCTAGTGAGGATGCTGGGTGATGGAGTAGACCTGGATTCTGTGTCTTTTTTAAGAGGGTGGGATGTAAAGATCAGGCCAGATCCTATAATATGTAGGTAAGAAGGTGGGCAAGGTAGATAAGGTAGGTAAGAAGGATCAAAGTCTACTCTCCAAAACCAAGAGATTGCTGTTATTATGAAATTATGGACTTGAGACTCCCTTGACACAGAGCCTGACCTTCCCCTGGAAAGTAATGCAAAGTTCAGGGGTTGGAGAGGTGCTTAGAGAGCAGAGTCAGGAAAACCTCAAAGCGTATCTAGCCCAGACAGCCAGCAACTCAGTTTTCAGCCTCCTCGGCCTCTGCCTCAGCCCTTCAGCTCCCTGAACTTGAGGAGTTGGGTGACTGACCAATGGCCCCAGTTTGTCTGGGGCTGAGAGGTGCCAGGGGGATGAGACTGGCACCCCACATGCTGCCCACACTGCTTGGCGTTGCTAGTGTGTGGAGAGACAACTGGGGCCAGGCTCAGGCCATAGCGTGCAGCATTCACAGCCCTCCTCCCAGGCTGATCCCCATCCAGGCTGCCTGGGACTGAGGGTTTCCCGAACCAGCAGGTGTCTGGCAAGACTCACCAGCACCCATGTCTAGGCCATGCTCTCTTCCACACCTGTCTCATCTCGGACCCTGAACCACTGTTCTCTCTCTTACCCCAGGACCCAGTGTAAGCAGAGCTTGGTTCAAATACAGCCCCACCCTGGGCCTCTGTCCAAGGTTCTGAAACATGTTTTGGAGGGCCAGGCAAAGGTTATTTCTCCCAACCTTAGGACCCTTGTTGGTTCATACAGATATTCTTTCAATAAATATCATCATATGGTAGCTTCATCTATACACTAAACCATCTGCAGACTTGGTGGCTTAAAACAGAAACATGTGTTATATCTTATAGTTCTCCATGTTGCCAAGCCCATGTTGTCTAGGGCTGGATGATCTAGCATGTTCACTCATTACACATGGTGGCTCAAAGGCTGTTGTTTGGTACCTCAGTTGCCTCCTCCAGTGTGTTAGCTCAGCTTGATTTGTATGCAAGGACACACAGCCCCAAGCTGACAGGAGGTGAACTCCAATCATCAAGTTCTTTTCACAAGTCTGTGTCACATTTTCTAATGTTCCATTGCAAGTCACACGGATAAGCCTAAAATCAATGTAGGAGGGACCTGGAGACAGAGAGAGGGATGATTGGAGCCATTTTTTGAAGACACTTCTCCAATTATCCTGCATCCCCAATGCACTGTAAAGCAGCAAATAATAGGATGGCCTTCCGTTGAACCCATAGAGAAATGACTTCACCCCTAGAACTGTTTCAAGCTGAGAATCCATTTGGCCTCTGCCAAAATCACTTTCATAATTATATCAGGAATGATCAAAAGTCTTTTGGAACCCTCCCTCCTACATTCTGAGCCACACATCTTGCTGAATCAGAGAACTATTTTTCCTCACTTCTAAATGAACAAAATCCTTCTGAGTTGCAGAGCTTCTCGACAGTCTTCAGCAATAATTTTTTGAGTTATGCATGGCTGGGCAATAAATCTTCAGTCACCTTCTTGGATGACTACGGAAGAGCTCTAAAGGAGAATTTCCAGGTCCCCGGCTCCCCAGGAAGGATGAGATCTTAGAAAGCACCTGCTAAGGGCCAAGCCTTGCACATCTTTCCATCTGATGCTCACAACATCTCCATTACATACAGAAAGGAGCTGAGATGGAGGATCTGGGCCAAAGTCATGGACACAGCAAGCTGGATGCAAGAATTCAAACACAGGCGTCCCCAGCACAGTCAAAATTCTTTCCTCCATACTCCTTCACTGCGGTGCTGAAGGGACTGGAGACCCAAGCTTGACTCCAGCTCTGCTGCAGCTCTTGTGCTACCTAAAGGTGCTCCCGTGTCCTCCTTGAGCCTCTGCTGTCTCAGGTGTGCTGTGCACATCGGATACCTGTGCCTACTTATCCAGGCTCGCTGGGGTATCTGCAAATACACCACTGTCTTGCACAGTGGACATGAAGCTTGGCTGGCTTCTTCAGACAGTGAATTGGACAGCATCTTTCCAAATGTTAAAGGGTGCCAGGGATTTAGCTCAGTGGTGCCACCACCTGCCTGGCAAGCACAAGGTCCCGAGTTCAATCCCCAGTACAAAAAAAAAAAGAAAAAATTAAAATGCACGTTCTTTGTTCTGGCAGTTCCATTTCTGGGAACTCACGTCAAAGGAGTATGTCCATGTGTGAGTAAGATGTGCAAAGATGTTTATTTCTGCATTGATTACAATAGCAAAAATAAATTTAAAATACTATAAATGTCCCAGTAAATCATGAGTCCTCATGCTACAAAATAGAACTTAATGCTTGAGATCTAAGTGAGCACCTGGCAAGGTCGCAGAGTCCACACACACACACCGCTGTCACAATAGGGAAACCCTGTGGAAACTGACTGGGCCTTTGCCAGACTCACCACAGTGACAGCAGCGAAAGGGACGCGTGGCCTGGGCTGGTTCCTCTCCTGCCCTGACCTCCAGGAAGCAAAGCACAGCTTCCTGCATGCCCCAGAGCTGTTCCTATGGCCACGCACCAGACGCAGAAAACAGCATGTACGCTCACAACCCCCAGAGATGCAGAGCCACATGTGTGGGGACAGGAACCCCCTGGGGCCTGGAGCCAATAAAGGACAGTCGAATCCTGAGTCAGCCCCTCCGGATTTATGGCTTTTTATCCTCAATCTGTAAGCAGCAGAGAGATTGCCTCAAAGTGTAGCAGGAAGGCCAGGAATTGCTGGGCGATTGGTCCTTGTGACCTCTTAGCAGCTGGGAAGAAATCAAGACCCTGTGACCACGCCTCTGATATCAACTTCACGTTCAACTAGAGCCAGTTTCTCTCACCTGAAAGTGGGCTCACAGGTGCTCCATCCAAGCTGCCAGAGCCACCACACATGGCAGCCTTCACAACCCCTTGCAGAGCCACCCTCTCCACCTCGCCTGGGCTCCAGTGATGCTTCCTCTGTCCTGGGTCTACCTTGTGCCCAGCCCCACTCCCCTGCTCCACCAGTCCCCCCACACCACCTGCGACTTGAGCTTGTGACCCCCTGGGAGAATCTGCAATGACCGCTTGGGACACAGTGAGTCAGCGGGTGGTGCGCCATTCTGACTGTGAGCGTGGCAGGTGACCAGACCCAGGGAAGCCCCAGACACTCCAGCAGGTCAGAGCGCACTGTCCCAGTGCAGGCAAGGCCAGTGCCGTTCATGAACAAGGCTGGAGTGACCTTCTGCATCCAGCTTTTTGGACTAAAGTGGTAGGGGGCGGTGCTGTGAGGAGAGTTAGTTTCTAATCCCCTAGGCTGTGAAGAAACATCAAGAGCATTCAGTGCCTGAAGTAAATATAAAGTAAAAGAATATTTGAATGAAAAAAAAACAAGAAACCTCTGAAACCTCTGCATTTTCTTCTCTGGAGTCTTTGCTTTTGTTGTTGAAGGTAGGTCTTTGCGCTGCACCTTACTGCTAGCACGGTCCAGTGGTCTTGTTGCCGTGTTTCCGTGAAAGTGCCGGCCCTGTCCCGAGGATGTGACACTGGACGACCCTTGCTACCCTAAGCACCACATTCCCCAGAGGTTGCTAGAAACACAGACTCTCACGCTCCACCCTGGACCTGCTGAGGGAGAATTTGCGTTCAGCAAAGTCCCCAGGTGTTTCCGGGGCACATGTGAGGTGAGGTTGCAGCCTCCCAGAGGTTGCTAGAAACACAGACTCTCACGCTCCACCCTGGACCTGCTGAGGGAGAATTTGCATTCAGCAAAGTCCCCAGGTGTTTCCGGGGCACATGTGAGGTGAGGTTGCAGCCTGAGCTCCTAGACAAGGGGAGCGTAAGTGGGGTTCATTCACGCCACACGGGCAGGGAGACAGGAACTGATTCAAGGGACAGAAGCGTAGGCTTTTCCTGGTGTAACAGTTTGTAACCTTGATGTCCTCTGATGGCAAATGATATGGCATTTGTACAAATGATAAGAAAGCCTACATCGGTACTCTTTGAAAAGTGAGTCCGTTTAAAGCAGTAATTCCCGGACCGAGGATGTAGCTCAGTAGTGCCGCCACCTGCCACACAAGCACAGGTCCCAAGTTCGATCCCCGGTACCAAAAAATAAATAAAAATTTAAAAAAACGAAACAGTATTTCCTGACTAACGTCTGGGTGCCTGGCTCTGCAGATGCCAAGGAGAAATGAAAGTGATCCCAGAAGCGCTGCTGCAGGGAGAATGCTGCAGAGAGAGGCAGGGGCTCGACCAAGGCCACACTGGGGGACAACAGAGTCCAGGTCAGCAGTGGTCCTTCCTCCCCGCAGCCTGGCTGCAAACTGAGCGGAAGCATCCTCCAGAGCAGCCGCAGAAGCAGGAACAGAGATGTCCATCGGTGACACCAGGCAGGTGCAAGGCACACATAGCTGCGAGGGCAAAGAAGCTGGTGCTGCCAGCAGCGTCACTTTGAAAAGAGCTCTCTCCCCTGCACCTGCGAGCCGGGGGACACCCAGCTGCTCCCTCTGCAGAAAGAGCTCCTCAGTGAGAAGCCAGTGCTTCCCAGCTGTGGCGGGATGAGGCTTTCCTGAGCAGGCAGTCTGAAGTTAAAAAGAAATTGTGATTTCTCTTCCCAACCAGGCCCACTGAGCCTCAGCTCACATCTTTAGGATAGGACACAGCTTTATGAAAACAAGCAAATATACCCTTTAAGGTATTTTTAGGGTTTCCCTTAAATTGTTATCAGCCATGTTTAAACTACCTGTAGTTTAGAATTTCATAGCTGTCTTGATTTCCACTTTTTCTCTACCACCAATAGTGTAGTTCACGTGCTCTCGGTCCCCACTCCCTTCCTATCGACTGCCTTGTCCCCAGCTCCTGCACCTGCCATTCCAGGATGTCAACTGCCTGGCTGTCCCGCCTTCAGCCCACAGCTCCTCTTCACACCGTGTTCCAACCACAGTGGTCAGGAGCCCATCCCGACCCGGCCACGCCCCCTAGCATTTTACAAAGTCTGCACTGTCTGCCCAGAATTCCCTCTCCATCAACACCCAGGGTAAATTCCTCCTTCTGCAGGAAGGGCCATCCCCAAAGCCCTGCTTAGATCTCCCATAGCCCAACTGGCTGCCTTGTTATGGGGCTCAGAACAGGCCCTACACGTAGCCTCCAGGGCTGGGAAGAGCCCTGAGCTTGACTCATAGAAATCCTCCAGGATTAAAGATCTCTGATGCAGTCAAGCCCTGATCTGCCAGGGATATAAGTCAGGGTTGATCCAGGCAAGTTCTTATTTACTCATCTCTAAAACGGGAAGAAATTAATCCCTCATTCGTGGGGAAGACCCAAAAATAAATGAAGGCAGTGTTAAAACACGCTCCACTGCTATGTGGCACCTACTAAGTGGTAATGTATCGTAGCTTTTATTAGGGTTACAAATAACAAAAGCACAGGTTATTGAGGTTGAAAGGTAGAAGCCAGAAGTTTAGAGCAGGATGGCCCTTAGAAATGTTGGTGGCCTAGCTGCACCTGGGGACCTCTGCCTTGCTGTCCTCCTTGAATTCTGGCCCCCAGAGGCCGGCTGCTTTGGCTGCTCACTGAAGCCCACCCTCATCTTTCACCGCACATCTTCAGTGAAGGCACCTAGGGGCTCTGTGAGGTTATCTGGGTACGAAATAAGGATCCTATCCCAGTCTCATTTAGAGGAAGAAGCCCAGGCCCCAGAGGAGGAGTGGCTTAGCTGAAAGGAGGCCCCGTAGCCCCAGTTTCTGCTCTTAAACCTGGGTTCACTCAGTTCCCTCTCTTTCCAAAGGACAGTGCTTTTCATCACCTGAGTAGTCTTCAATCAATGTATCTATGAAAGAGAAGCAAAACTTTTGAGTCTCTGTTTCTTAAAGAGAAGGAGAGGCTTCAGGGTGAGTAAGGATGCTTTCCAAGGATCCGTCCCTGGGGACAGAAAGCACTGCAGGTAGCCGTTTCCTTCCTTTCCAAAGTCGCCATACAGGTCACAGCCTGCCCAGGACAAAATGGCAGGTGACCCCTGTGGGAATGGGGAGTCCCTGGGGCAGCTAAGAAGTCCTGAGGACTCAGTACAGAGACAGAGAATACCAAGGGATGGGTTGGAGCCAGCCTCCTGGGGACACCAGGGAGGAGACAGGATAGAGCAGGACACAGCCACCAGAACGCAGAGGAGTCAGGACTTCTCAAGGGCTCAGGACTCACTGGTCCACGGATGTCACCTCCTCCAAACCTGCAGCACCTGCTCCTGGGAGGAGGCCCCTCTCACTGTCTCCTCTTCCCTGAGGGGATTGTGACAACTGACATCTGACTTCACTTCTGGTATCTCAGCCTCGCTTGGGAAAAACAAATATTTGATCTAAAAAGAATAAAACCCGCATGTGGGCTTGCAGAAGGATGTAGGCTTTCGATACTAGGGGTGTCCACCCCAGCCCAGCCTGATGCCCACACCTGGGGTCACTCCTCCAGGTCACAGCACGAAGTACCCCAGGGAAAGATCAAGATAGCGAGGCGTACTGTTGTAGTTCCCTACAAGGAGGGGAGATGCTAAGACGAGTGAGTCAGGCCTGGGTCCAGGTGGAAAGAGCATGGTATTGCTTACAGGCCATGATCCAGGCAAAAGCTAATTTAAAAAAAACTTGATTTTAGGGGCAATCTATTCTAGTGTCAGGGAGGGTTTCTTTAGAGAATTCCTGGCTTTAGTTAGTTTAGTAGACTTGCTGCTTTCATGGTCCCAAATACACACACACACACACACACACACACACACACACACACACACACACACACACACACACACACACACACACACACACACAGCACACCACACCACATCCAAAGCTACTGTCCCATGACTTTATGGTGAGACTCCCTGCGCTTAAGTCTGGGTTAGCGTGACACTGGTCTCAGCCCCTGAATGTAGCAGAAGTGACAAGACTGCCTGATATTTTGGAGTCTGAACCTCAAGAAACTTTGTACCCTGTCCCTGGCAAGAGCAGATGCCCATACCAGCCTGTCAAGGACAAGGCAGGAAGAGCAGAACCCAATGACCCAAGGTAACCACACGAGGCAGGCCGGCCAGCTCCAGGGAGGGGACAGAGACCAGCCAAGAGGACCAGAGCTGCGGGATCCCCTGCAAAGAGGAACCTGCAGAAACACAGATGCCATGGACACTTCCCAGGGAGCCCTGAGACAGACCGGGGGGGGGGCACTACCTGCGTGGGGGATGGGACTTGGGCCCTAGGGGTGTCCTGTGGACGGGAGGGACTCCACGCAGCAAGTGGAGCAGCCCTTGACTCCACTGTGCCTCACCACGCACCAAGACTCCAGGGACAGGCAGTGGCTCCTGACTGCCTGTGCTGACCCAGAACAAGAGCAGATCCAGCTCAACATCCCAGAGCCATCTTCGGCTGGCTTCAAGATCAGACATCCTCCAATCGATCCTTCTCGCCGAGCTGTCAGGCCTGCTGCTTCCTGGTGTCAGCTGGGAGGAGGGAAGCAAATCATCTGCTGGGGCTGCCTACAGCTGGGTGAAATCAAAGACAGAGGGGCCTTCCACTGAGGGGGCACTGTTCATTCAGGATGGCCGCAAAGAGCCATAGGCAAAATGTGGGGGGAGTGAGGTAGACATCCTCCCAGCTTCTGCTCCTGCCTTCACAGATGGGAAACCAAGGCGCAGAGAGAGGAATCGATATTCTCAAGGTCGTATCATCATTTAAGAGAAGAGCTGGACCTACAGTGCTAAATCCAGCAATTTGAGGGCACTTAGGGTGTACTAAGCCCTTAATGAACATTACCTAAGGTGAGATTCCTGGCATGCAGGGTAAGAATTGCCATACATTATGTGAAATTCACATTTTAAAGATGAAGAAATTGAGTCTCAGAGGTTTAATGAAGTCATCCAATGTCATAAACCTCTAGTGCGCAGAAAAGAGAGGACTTAACTCCTGATTTCTAAACTGTGGATCTTAGCCACTGAGCTGTGTTGCCTCTGGGAGATGGAACCAAAGTTACCCATTCAGGACCAGAGAGCCCAGGCTACTGCCACTCAAAGTGCAGCTCTGCCCTCATCCTGTAGCAGTTCTGCTTTGCCTCCATCTCTGTCCCTGTCCCTCTATGGATCTCCTTCTCTGCGGGGGGCTGGGTCTCCATCTTTGTCTCCCTGTGTCTCTTAATTGGTGAGATATATCTATATCTGTCTTTGCTCTATATGCGCATGTCTCTAAGGGTGTGTGTCTATTTGTCTGCAGCTCTGCAAATTGCGGGGGAACAGGATTCCACATGGAGTGAGCAGATGAATGGACGGATGGATGATGTGGATGGGGACAGCCTCCCTCCACAAACAGCAGACGTGGTATTGAGCAAACCCACCCCAGCCCAAGAGTCTCCGGCAGTCGAGTCTCTTGGAGCCATTGATCTACCCCCCCACTGCCCTCCCTCCTTAAGGCCTGTGCATTCCATTTCCCTCTAACCCGAAGCTGCTTCCCCAGGGCTTGATGGCTTGTATCCAGTTTTATTGTTGATACAGATCTTTATCTGCCCCGGGCTTATAACTGACATTTAAATTACTCTGCAAACAATGAATCAATATTTATGGATTCCTGGACCAAAGCATTTTACCAAACCTGGTGTCCCAAGCTTTCCCAGGTCAAAGAGGCAGAAGAGTCAAGGTCAAGGTTTTGTCTAATTGGAAATGGGGAAGCAAGGTCTGTGCTACGTAAAGGTCTTGAATTAGAGTAGAGCAGTGTGCCCCTAGACCAGAGCAAGGTGGTTTCCCGGTGGAAATTCAATTCATCTCCCATGTGCTTCGAGGGCACTTCCTGTGTGTACAAAGCACCGTGATAAGCAACCAGGATGAATGAAATTAGATCACATCCTCTAAGTATCCCCACGCTAGGAGATGACAGTGGCACAGAGGTAACTGCAAGCAGACTGCACTCAAGGCTGCAGCTAGGATCCACAGTGCGTGGGGAGACAAAACAGGGGAATCTAATAAATGGAAGTTCATGGGGGACTTCATGGAGGAGGAAGGCTGTAGGGAGAGGGGAAACAGCCAGGGCCAATGAGAGTTGAAGGTACCCAGCAGGTTTTAGGGATAGGAGGAAAGGTTGGTAGGGAAAATCACATAGGAAGTTAAACTGAGTCCTGATCTTGGATAGCTCTGGATACAAACTGAAACGTGTAGCTTTCCCTCTACAGACAAAGGGGAGCCATAGAAAGTCTTTGAGGTAGGGAGGCACGCCAGGAGATCATGCTTCTGGAAGCCCCTGGGAGCAGTAGGACTCTTGGAATTACTGGAAATTAGGGTCATATATTGGTACAGGCAGAGACTGGGCCAGTGGGGCCTTGCTCCCCAGGGCACAGCTGGGCTATTTTATCCTCCTTTTAAGCACTGCCCCCAGCTGCCTTGAGAAAAACAACACTCAGGAGATGGATGCTTCTGGGGCCTCTTTGGCGCCATGAGTTATGGAGGTGGCCTTAATCTTGGAGGCCAAACCGTTTATCACCCTGGTGAATTTAAGCTCCAGTTCCAGGAAAAGAAGACAAGCAATCTCTTGTCCCTGCATCAGCACAGACACGCTTTCCCCGGCAGCCGATTTATTTGTCCAGCTGCTCAACCGCTGAGCCGCTGCGCCAAAGCCTCCCGGGGCATCTGTCCCAGTGGGGTGCAGTCGGGCCGTCTGCAGGGGGTGAGCTCCGGTGTGGGACTGGTGATGGATGGAGGGGAGGCCACTTCCACATACAGGCTGCAGGCGCGCGAGTGAGCAGATCCATCCCCGTGCTTGATTTTGGAGGGGGGGCCCAGCGGGGCTGACCTATCCATTTCAACACCATGGGGACTGTGGACTCAGGGGCCGCAGGACGTCCTCATCTCTTTTAAAATCAGAAGAAAATTGCTAGGTACAGTGGTGTACATCTGTCATCCCAGCACTCAGGAGGTTGAGGCAGGATTGAGACCTGCCTGGGCTCCATTGTGAGTTCAATACCAGCCTGAACTACACAGAAAGACCCTGTCTCAAAAAGTATATAAATAAATAAATAAACAAATAAAATCAGAAGAAAATGAATATAATCCAGCCTAAATTCTATTCATCTTTATACCAAATTCAGTAATAACATTACTATTTATTATACATTTTTATATATTATTCCTTTTTTTTTTTTTTTTTGGTACCGGGGATTGAACTTGGATCCTTGTGCTTGCAAGACAGGTGGCAGAACCACTGGGCTACATCCCTGGTCCTATTATTCCTATTTTAACAGAGGAAGGGACCCAAAGGGCAAGCCCAAGGCCTATGACCTAGGCACTGGGTTTCAGTGTTCTCTCAGTAACGGCAGAGAAGGCCAGGCAGAGTGGGGCCAAAATCCAGCCCAAGCCCTCTTTCTCTGGCTTCTCTTTATCCTCTGCCCCTCCTCAGCCCCTCATCTGCACAACGCCCCAGTGCTCCAGACCTTGCCAGCTACAGGCCTGCACAGCGCCCCACAGAACACTCTCCTTGCCCACTCTTCCTTGCCCAGGTGAAGTGCCCCTCACTGGGCCACACCTCCAGGCCACCTCCTCCCTAGTGCCTAGGGCTGTTGGTGGCGTGAAGCCTCCACGAGCCTCAGTGTACCTCTGTGGTGCTCTGTGGGCTGGATGCTCTCACTTCCCATGCTCTGAGTGTGGAAAGGCTGCTAGGTCAAAGCAGGGTGTGGCTGGCACAAAGGCTCTGTGCGTGCGTGTGTGTGTGTGTGTGTGTGTGTGTGTGTGTGTGTGTGGTACTGGGGATGAATCCAGGGCCATCACACTGAGCTATATTCCCAGCCCTTTTCTTTTTATTTTAAGACAGGCTCTCTCTGAGTCACTAAGTTGCACTGATGGGCTGGAATTTAACCCTCCTGCATCAGCCTCCCGGAGTGCTGGGATCACAGGCATGCGCCGCCCTGCCCAGCTGCATCTGTCTGTTCCTGTGGCATTTACTGCAGAGCCACACACGGTGGTGCTTGGTGGCTATTGGTCAGCTGGGGAATCTAACTATTTTGGGGGGCCCTCTACACAGTTCACACAGCAGGCGCCTCCTTCTTCAGAATCACCGGGTCCCCATATCCAGGCCGGAAGGGAAGCCTGCTGTCATTTCTTCAGCATGGAGTGTGACGGTGTCTTTGTGGCACTTCCTGTGACTGTCTCAACACATGTGAGTCCCTTAAGACCAGAAACATGGCCAGTTTAAATCATTGCTGTGTCGTGCAACAGCTAACCTGGGGCCAACCTCTCAAAAAGACCTGCCAGGTGAATGGGAAAATTAACTATCTTATTAAAAATATTGAGTGTTCGATCCCCTGTACTGAAATATATATATATATATATATATATATAGTGTTTGGCACCAAGGGGCCATTAGCAGCTTCTGTGCCCAATCTGCCCTGTGCATTACTACCAAGATGCCACCTCTGGCCTGTGCACAAAGGGCTGGCACAGCCGGATGCAGGGAATGGAAACCGTGAAGGGTCTGCGGACAGAGACCCAGCCACATGGAAACACCAGACAGCCAGAGGATCTAACACAGTGCTCCCTGCACAGAATACAGCAGGGTCCCGGCAGAACTGCAGGCTGGCTGATGCCTGCAGCCCTGTCTGAAGATGCTCAGAGTCCCTCCTCTGACCCGTGGGTGCTTATGAAACTGTCACAGTGTGCTGGCCACTGTGCTGAGACTGCTGTCCACAGAAGGCAGGCAGATGTAGGACTTCTAAAAATGACAGAAAGAATAAAACAAGGGCGCCAGCTGTCCAGAACGGCAGCTGTGGG